AAAGCAGCAGTTTCCCTTTTCTAATAATCAAAACTACCCTTGATACCCTGGAGAAGTATGTCCACTGTTTCACAACAACGACTGTCCCAAGAGATTTTCGTCTTCTCAATTTCTCAAGATAAACGTCCAAGGGTTGTTTTGTTTACTAGAAGGAAATGTCCTTTGACAGCGTTTCTTGAATTAATTTCCATTGCACAAAAAAGCAGCAAATACTCTTACTGAAGCACAGAATTGGCATGATTTTTTCCCCCGGCCATTCACGCAAACTGCAAATCAAGACTTTTACCGCATCCATAGTTGTTGACAGCCGATGGATGATGATGGATGTATTGTGACGTATTTTGACCCCCCGACCCCCCCCCCTCCCCTGGATTTTGACCTTGCATTCTTGTCACATTTACTGCCCTTTCATACCTGTTCAATTCCTTTCATTATTTCATCCAGATTCCATGATATTTTATATTTAAAACCAACCTTTATTTCACAGTCACTCAAGTTTTCATTTTTCTAAAATTATCTTACTGATCAAAAGACTTTTCACCCCCATCATGCAATCTCCCATAGTACTTCCGCAGACACAGCAGCGATCGCCAACATATCTACAAATAACCTCGCTCTCAGGAGCTGAGGAATAAATTAGTTAGCATAAATTAACTTTTATCTGTTTATAAGCTCCCCCCCTTTTTTTCATCAATTTTTCTCCCAGGGGTTTATACTCTGACAACTACGGTATAGACAATTGTATTCTAGTTCTTTAACAATTAAAACTGTTCATATTTGTTCTTATTTAACCTTTGACCGAATGCTTTATTCCACTTCCTAGTTGTTGTGTGTCACCAAGGATCTTAAAAATATGCACTTAAGATAATTATGTACAGTGTTGTATGCATCAATTAAATGTATGTTTAATACAGTGATTATATTCATTATTATGCATGTACTATCAATGCCAGTAGCATAAATACAAAAAACAAACACTAACAATTTATTTTCACAGAATCACTTATTAGCTCCGCTGTCGACTTTGTCGAGCGGAGCTTATCATATGAGTGATTGTCCGTCGTCGTCGTTCGTCGTCCGTGTCAATGTTTTACTTTTTCGACTTCTTCTTGAAAACTACAAGCCTGAATGCTTTGATACTTGGTGTATATGTACCTTGGGTAGACCTCTCTCAGATTTGTTCATTTCATGATGATATCTTCAATTCTCTAATTTTGGTGAATATTTTTGTCATTTTTAGTAAAAAGTGATATTTTCGACTTCTTGTTGAAAACCGCAAGTCCAATTGCTTTGATATTACATATATAGGTACTACATGTGGACCTCTCTCAGATTTGTTCATTTTGTAATGATATCTTTAATTCTCTAATTTCGGTGAATATTTTTGTAATTTTTGGTAAAAAGTGATATTTTCGACTTCTTGTTGAAAACCGCAAGTCCAATTGCTTTGATATATTATACATATAGGTACTACATGTGGACCTCTCTCAGATTTGTTCATTTTCTAATGATATCTTCTGTTCTTTAATTGCCATGTGCATTGCTAACAGCGGAGCTATCTCAGCCGACAGGCTGCTTGTTTTCATTATTTCTATAAATGTACGGTTGTTTTGCAATGTTGTGATCATTTCTAAATTTACATGTGATCCTTGTTGTCACACATATCAAAATAACATTCCAATACTGTAAATTACTTTATTTTCGCTATTTTCAAAGGGACAATTCAGTGAAATCAAGCATATACTCCTTTACATTACAATATTGATTTGTTTTAGTGTCCACCATTGACTATCTTTGGATCTTTTATTTACTTTATGCAAACTTTATTTGGACAAATATTTTGTGGTATTTGATCAATTTGTGTTTATACATGTAATACACTCACAATCGTTGATGATTTAAGATGGTGTCTTTAATTTCATATTTTTGCATTTGTCAATATGAAATCTAAAAATATTATTTAGATATTATTTCACATTAATTCTCCATAACATTTTTTTTTTTTTTAATTCAAATGATTTAATCATTTGGTTTTTCTAGCATTTTCCATCAGTTTAATGTTTATGAAAGTAATTTTTATAAAATCAATATTTATAATTAAAAATATCAAAAGTTATACATGTATGATGTATGCATTATTCTTGATCCATAATAATTAATAACTTTGTTTTGCAGGTGTATTTATGATGCTGTCAGCAATTCTGGACAGTCCGCTTTAGACATTGCTAAATTCTGGAACCATGTCAATGTTATTCGCGTATTTGAAGACCATCCAAGGACTTCTTACAAAGACAAAGAAGCCCCTACCAACTTCTTTGGTTATAACCCCCTTGATCGATGTGCTGTTAAACGGTCAGATGATAAGTGGCTGGAATCAACATTACAGAAAGATGATTCTGTGTTTCTCTTGTACAGCAACTCATATCCTCTAGTTAAATTTGATCCAAACGGAAAGCCGCAGCTTTGTCAATTCCGCTATAACAACATAAGATCCATCATTGATAACACAACAACTAAACCAAATATTATTTTTCTGGGTGCTAAATGTAAAGAACAAGAAGGCAGTAATGATTTCAATGAGGCTTGGTTTGCAGTTGATGCAACAGGTGTTCCTACTGAACAAATCACTGACTTGGCCCCAGGTGCTGAATATCTCAGTGGTGCAGGCGGTCTCCGTTTGATGCAGCTACATGAGTCAATAGCTGGTATTGTAGCACAAGGAAGGTCACTACTTGCTTGGCATGCAAGGTACAAGTTCTGTCCAACCTGTGGAAATAAGACATTTCTGACCGAAGCTGGGTACAAACGAAAATGTGAAAATGATGGCAAGTAACATCTGAGCTTTTATACAATATTCACCCTATATATAAAAACCGGTGTAAATTTCAAAGTATTTATAAACAAAGATATTTATAAATTGACAGTTCTAAAGCTTGTGCTGTGATAATGTCATGTATGTAACATGTTAGTGTTTTACAAAATGAAAGATAGTTCCACCCTAGCCAATCCAGTCATCTTGTTTGAATGCTAAACTGTTTTTATAAGTTTTGTAAATATAAATATTAAGTTGTGGAGGCCCACAGTACCTTTTTGTAAAATATTGCCAATAGTTTACAATTTACACAAGAACTACAGAAATCTAAATAACAAATAAAAAGATATTAACTGGGTACATATGTAGAGGGTTCTGTAACATACAACAATCTTAAGATAGCGAGATAGTTTATTGAATAAGTCAACTGGTTGAGGGCATTTTAACAATATTTATAATAGGGAACACATAAGTTTAGGAATAAAACAAATACATATACATTGCATTAACACATAGATTCTTTTTTACAGAGTGTATTAACCATAGAGAGATACACAATTCAAGTTATCCTAGGACAGACCCTGTAGTGATTATGTTGGTGGTTTCGTCTGGTGGAGATAAATGTTTGCTTGGCAGGGCTAAATCATGGCCAGCCGGC